TTAATTAATTATGCTTAAACATTAAAATTGTATCACAACATGCTCAATACTGAAATAAATGAAACCATAGGTAAGTTGAGAAAACAATCTTGGTTGATAAGGAGCATATGTAGAAGCTAGAGCAATCTTTGATTGAGACTGCAGATCTATTAATTTAATACTAAATTAAAGTTAATTTTCTTTTACGTTATATACGTAATTCACTTCATAGGTATCATTTTAAATAACAATTTTACGATATACACTACTATAATATCATTGCATCTAACACCTTAAATATGTGAATTCCAATTAACAACAACTAATATGTACTTGTATATATTAAAAACTACGTAGCAACCAATATTTATCATGATCGTCTACACTAAACTATGAAACTCCTTTCTAGGTTCATCGAGTACAAGTTTCGATCTCTACTAATTAAAAGATAAAAATAAAAAAGATTTTAGTGAAGCATACATACGTTTATAAATTGACAATATATGAGGCTAAAATTGGCACTTACTATAATACAGAAGTGGCCGGAATCAACTGGATCAATTTGTGGATGGGTGTGCTTTAATTTAGAGAAACGTTTCGCTTTTGATACAAAGAAAACGGCTTTCATTTCACGTGAAACAGGACACAAGTTCTGAAAATATACATGTACCGAGTACTTTATATTATTCTCAATTGGGATTTTTCTACAAATATTGCGCAATTTTGTATATAGAAAATCAAGGATAATATCTTTATCTTTATCTTTATTAGTGTAACAACGTACTACTTTGTATGAGGCAAGTTGTTGAAAGAGGCCAGGGTTTGGACTTTGGAAATTCATTTGATACTACAAAGATAAATGTTAACATCATTATGAAACGTATGTATAATGTAAAGTGCCATCAACAAAGCCGAATTTCCGTCTAGATTTCAATGACAAAGTGATTGCCCTACACCATGCTAAATAATTATCACCCTTCAAGATCGCGTGAGTAATCAAATTTCCAGGTTGATCGCCTGAACCAAGGTAGAAAGGGGACGAAGGATCACTTTTACCATCATCCACCATTGTTGATTAAGCGATAGAGTAGAGAAGATTAGAGGAAAAAAAAACAGTGTTTTAGGGTTTAGAATCGTAGAGGCTCCGATACCATGTTAGGAATTGAAATTTCCTTGGTTTGTATTTCTGTATGACAAGGTTTATATACAACCTAAAGCATATCAGGCCTTAAACATTGGCCCAAAGACTAAATTCAATATTAGGGCTTAACAACAACCAATTACGTATGATCTAATTGTAACATAGGGATTACTAACTCTTGTTGAATAAAGATTAAAGAATAATCGCAAATGAACTGTGAATTAGGGGACTAAGGAAACATAATTATAACTATAGCCTATGGTAGTGATGGTACATCTTATACTATCTATGATCTAATGAAAGAACAAACTAGAGAAAATATTTTGACTATCAGACCCATTCAACATATCTATCGAGCAATAAACCGAGCAACAAATTGAATTATCAAATGTAAAAACATTTAATTTTTAATAGTAAAGATCTTCAAGTCTATAATAACTCTAATTTGTTAACAATTATCTCTTCTGATACATTAATTAGAAAGACCCTTCGTGAAATGAGCTTTCTATATTTATTCTTCTTATTTTTTCTTTAAAATTAAAAAACTCCAACTAAGTGTAAAAGAGAAACGTAGTTGTTTGAAGAACATTACAAAATTCTATTTCCGAGTAAAAAAACGTAAGGTAAAAATTCCATTATATCTCAATAATAATAATAATAAAAAAATCTTGATGTACAAATTAAATAGTGGTTGTCTAGTTGGCAGTTGTCTGGCCCCAAATTTTAACAAACACACTACTGTACTAATAATTATAAGTAATTACGAGAAATAAACTATACGTTTTTATAGCACTTTAAAAGAGTGAAACGTTTCGTTTTACACCAATTATGCAATAGCAACACGTACGTTTCCATTTATGATGGAGATTCACCTGATTAGTAGCTTAAAAAAAGCAGATTTAAAACTCACTACATTATTATGTTTGTTGTCTTAAATAAAGAAAGAAACCATAACAATTACGTAAGTGATTGCGTTATGCTCTTTCCTTTAAATCGTGGACAGCTTGCCGCATGAATTGTGTTAAGTGAGCAAGAAAAAAACTAAAGAAACAAATTGCAACTCGGTCCTTAGGAGGTTGAGCATGGCTACGGGTCGAGCACCAAAAACAATATCTTTATCTGCTTGGGTACTTTATAGTTAATACGAAGTATTCCATAATCAATAACGAACACTAAAATAATTACCATAAATCTAATTGATAGGGCTTATTTAGGTTACCAAACTTAAGGTACTCAATTAGATCTTCATCAGGTTAGATTTCAGATTTCCAATATGATATCAAAATTAAATTTTTTTGATAAAGCGGCAAAAGCGCCTTGTGAAATTAAATTTAATTGCTTATAAAAAACGTTACACACTAATTACTGATGTGGCAATTATCTCAACTATATCAATATATAATAAAACTAATATTTATTAGTTTACAATTTTTTGAATTTTCTTTTATTTTAGAGAAAAATATCCACGTAGAAAAAAAATTGCTCATTAGTTTCTTATCTATATATGAAACTAGATTAAACCCCATGCAATGCACGGTTGTTAAATAATTATAACGACAATAAATTTGACCAAAAATAATGGTACATAAAAATTATGAATAGATTTACCAAATATTAAAAAGTATGAAATATATTTTTTAAAATTATAAACATGCAAAAGAATATAATTAAACACATGTAATATTTATAATGGGTTATTTGATATTTAAAGAAGTTTGTTTTAGATTTTGTACAAAATAGAAGTCATAATTTAGGACAATTGTACAAATCTTTTTTTTGGAGGGAAAACTTTTAGTAATATGCTGACAAGTGTCCCTCTGAGTTTCGCCTTTAGTAGTATGTAATTGATTGATGATATTGACACCCACATATAACTACACCTAATAGTACGAGTCGAATAACTGGAGTGAGTATCCAATCAACCAATTTGATAACAATATCAATTCGAGTGCCTATGCTTTAGATCGAATATTATAAGGTCAATTCAAGTTCAGATAATTTTACTTAACCCTAGGGGTGCTAATCGATTTGAGTAGCTCGTGAGCAATTCGGACTCGACTCGGTCAAAGCTCGGTCAAATAAGACTCGGCTCGAGTTGGCTCGACTCGACTCGATATGTTAATGAGCACAAATTGAACAAACTCTAACTCGACTCGATAAGCTCGTGAGCAACTCGATAATATATTTTATTAATATAGAATTTACAAATAAAGTTATTACCATGAACAAATTTGACACTCAATAAGAGTTAATTTATATTATAAAAAAAAAGTAAATCCTTAATAATAAATAAAATAAATAAAAGAAAACTATATAGAGTGAACAAAAACAATAAAGGCCTACTCCCTTTGTCCCTTATTTTTTGCCCCATTGCAATTTATGGATCAAACTTATAAAACTTTGACCATAAATTCCCGGTAATGTATAAGTGATAATATATTCGTGCGGGGTCTTGTTAGAATCATTTCATTATATATTTTATTAATATCAAATTTTTATAATTTTTATGCGTATAGAAATTGAGATATATACGTTTGGACACGCGTCTTGAAGACCGTGAAAAGTCAAATGGGCCAAAATATAAGGGACAGAGCGGAAGTATAATTTTAGAAGGCTCAAAAATTTAACGAGCAGATCGTGAGCTACTCGACTCGACTCGAAATTTTAACGAGCACGAGTCAAGTAAGTTTTATTGACTTGAAACTTTAACGAGCACGAGTTGAGCACATGAAAAAAGTTTTCAAGTCGAGTTGAGCACCCCTTAACTCGTGATCGAGTCGCTCGATTAGCACCCTTACTTAACCCTACTTAATCAACTCTGCCCTTCAATTTTAAGTCTTTCATTCTTACATTGCTTATTTATAAAGTAACTTTCATGACAAAATGGTAAGTAGAGGGTTCTAAATAATTTAATAATTCGTAACAAGAGTTGGTTTAATTATATACTTGATTGAGTTAAATCTTAGCTTATAGGTTTATTATTATCTTCAATTTAGGATGACCAAGTAGTTTGATACACCCTAAGAATTGCACATAAAAAGCCAAAAACTGGTAATAAAAATGTTGATTTTACCAATCATATCAACACGTGATTTTATTATGTTATAATTTTTTCAATTTAAGTAATCTACTAATTGCTTACATATAGTCATGAAGAGTTACATATATCATTTATTTATTTTACTATTGTTATTACTCTATTATTTTTCTGTATTAGAGGAAATCATTGCACAAGTTAAAGGTTGTGATATAATCCAACGGTTAACCATAATAATTTTATCAAACATTTTTATATTCAACAAGCCAATATAGTCAAACATCCAATTCAACATCAGCGAAAGTTTGAAACAATCAACATAACAACCAAAAATCACCGGCTAATTACCAAACAAGGTGAAAGATAAAGATGTACTCAATTCATTTGTAAATACGGGATAAATAATTGGATTAAACTAATCATAATGGAGAAAGAGAAAAAAAAAATATTATGGATCAATTGGGATGTCTTTATCTTGCATTGTTCAATAATGTACGTAAAATGACCTACTTATAATACTTATAGTATAGTATAGTAGACAAGAGACAGCCCAGTGACAAATAATACTTCGTATTACTTATTTTCTTACAAATAATTAAGTGAATCTAAGTCGTTTCTTACTTATTGTGTTTTATTGAATGATTGTTGATCAAGTTTAAGAATAACTTAATTAGAGATTAATTGACATGGGAAAGGACCTTATAAAGAAGATAAAAAGAAAAATAAGATCGAGAATAAAAGTATTTATCTTGGTTATGTATGCAATAATATACTCGTATACATTAAATTAAAAAAAATAATTCAAATGGATCATGGCTTGGGGTCGTTCTTCTATAAAAGGAGAGTATTCTCCATTCTCTTCTTCCCAAACAAAAATAACAAATTAAAGAGAGACTAATTAGTGAAATTGAGAAATAATTATCATGGAGGGATCAAAGAGTTGTTGCCCACCTGGTGAAGCTAACAGGTAATCATATACTATGAATTTATATTTCCATAAAATATTTTAGTAATTAATACAAGTATTAATTATTATATACAAGTATATCTTTAACAATTTTTACAACATGCATGATGTTAATTAGTAAAATTATACTCTTAGCTATATATTTTTTTTGATGCAATACTCTTATCTATATATAATCAACATATAGAATATTTTTTTTAATCAGTAAACATCAATAGCTTCAGAGAAGGAATCTAACATTAATAGTTTTCTACATATAGTAAAAAAGTCAGTTTTAATAAGTAAAAATTACTCCCTCTGTTTTTTATTTTTTATATTATTGTTATTTTTTTCAATTTTCAAGTGAATACGTTATTTGTTTATATAATTGATGCCTGTTATTTGATTAATAATCAAGGTAATGATTCTAAATGTTTTTGTTAACAGCAAAGCATGCTGCAAGTGCGGCCCTGGGTGGACTTGCGTGATAAGAAAAATTGAAGACCCTCAACCTGATGCCAAGCCTTTCACCAACTGCAGCGATACCTGTGTCTGCATCACGTACGTTTTCACTCTTCTTATATGCATAGTCCTAGTATTTCAAATAGGACAATCATTTAAGAACGAAGAGAGTACATACTCCTTGTATAAATTTAATAGCCTTCATTCGTAAAACCTTGTGAACTCTCGCTTACACAAATTTAATATCAGATTTCTTCTAGTGACCATAATTTTGATGAGATGCGTGCGATTAAGCACTTTGATTAAAAAAAAAAATGGACAGTTATTATGAATGAATTGAACTTGCATTGTTTTGACACAAAATAATACTCCGTACTTTGAATTTCATAATTGTAGGGACGAGTCAAAGAAAGTGGAGACTGAAGGAGGATACTGTGTATGTGGAGAAGGGTATGCTTGTAGTTTCACAAAAACAGAAGGTCCTGATGCTGGAAAAGTGCTCTTCGAGTGTGGTAATGGTTGCAGGTGTGAGGTTTCTGGTTCTGGTAATGAGGTTATTGTCCTCAAGGATGCCTGATAACTTCAATGTGTAAGGGTTAGTGGAAACACATATATACCAAATGCTCATGGTGTAGTACTTCATATGTACAAGCAAGTTGTATTAGCAATTTGGGAGGCCACTAGCCAAATTTCAATATTGTGTGTGCCATGTTTTATTTCATCGAATAAGCATTGTTGTCGATACTCAATAGGGTGTAATCGTGTAATGTTGTTACACTCTTGTGCAATGTAATGTTATTTGTTGTTGTGTGAAGTTTGTATACTTAACTCATCACTACTTTGTCAGATTTGTGGCCTAGCTCTCCAATCCGCACACAAAATATAGAGAGATTAATTAGCAATGCCTACACGAATATTTTTGAGATTGTGGCCGGAAGAATCAGGTCTAGTATGTTTCCACATCAAGTCACAATTATTGCAGCATGTTATGGTCAATACTTGATAGTTGACATAAAAAAATATAGAATTTTGAAATCAGTTGGTAGAAATAATAAGTGTTACAAAATTAGGATATAGTCATTCACATATTTGAATGGCTTCACATAGGTTAAAATAAAAGCTAAAGTAATAAGCAATAATATTTGTATTAGTTACAATATTCTGTAACCATACTTGAAAATTTAATTTTAATGCGACATATAATACTTGTAGTTTTTTTTATATAAAGAAAGGAAAAATAAAAGACTTTACTCACTGGGGAAAAGTAGTTGATGATTAGTTTATGTTTCTCCTCTTTTATTTTAGTTGAATTAACCTTATGTAATTGTGTATACTCGATGCAACTTATATTTGCCAAATTTAACATTTGTTTAACTTCTTTTTACTAAACTTCTGTTTAAATTAATTATTATTTGTTTGTTTTTACTCAAGTTATTTCTGTTGATAGTCATTCAAAAACATTGAGTAGAACAGTATAACACCTAAAATATGGTAGACCTTCAACAATTTAAATCTTGGTAACTTTATCTGAAAATTTCAAAGAAAGCAGCCCAAATAAAGGGCCAACCCACCATCTGATACAATCAATCCCAAAGCCCAACCCACTAAGTTACAAAAAAAGGGAAATTAATTAAATTTAAATACTACGTATAACAACTCACGCGCCTCTACAAATCACGTGTTTCACCGGCTTTCTCTCTCACACACTAAAACAACAAATACACACTCAAAAGAAAGCGCATCACACTGAATCACACTTTCCGTTAACGCGCCACCCATGACGGCGGCGAAACCACCGCAATCATCATCTTCTTCATCAATGGTCACCATTAGAGGATCTCTGCTAACCCTAGCTATTCTCACTCTCATCTCCTTCACTTTTCTCTCTCTTAAATCTCTCCATTCTCCTTCCTCCTCTCCTCCCACCACGGTAAGCTCACTTTCTCTCTCCTCCACTTTCTCTCTCATCGAGTTTCTCTCTCTAACGTGAATTTCCTGTTTCTGTGTTGTTCGAGAAGGTTCTGAATGTGGTGGAGGAGAGAGAAGAGGCGTCGGAAGCGTATCATTCTTCGGAGATCTTTAGGTTGAATTACGAGGAAATGGAGAGGAAGTTTAAGGTTTATATTTACCCTGATGGTGATCCGAATACGTTTTATCAAACTCCGAGGAAGCTCACTGGGAAGTACTCCAGTGAAGGTTACTTCTTCCAGAATATTCGAGAGAGTGGGTTTCGTACTCAAGATCCTGATGAAGCTCATCTCTTCTTTATTCCTATTTCCTGCCATAAGATGCGTGGCAAGGTATTCTTTTCTACATTCTAATTTTGTGTTTGATTGATACTTGTTTTTGAAGTCATTGATTTGGATTGCAAGTTATAATTATGTGAAATTTTGGAGTTATTTTGGATTGAATTGTTTGGAATTTGAACAAATTATTGCATTGAATTGATTTAGGTGGACATTAGGGAAAGTGAGGATAATTATAACGAGAATTTTGGCAATTTCTTGTGCTGGATTACTTTGTGAATTAGAAGTTCAAAATGAATGAAATTTTTAGTTAAGAGTGTTGAGATAGTGAAAACTTAACAGTGTACAAAGTGAGATTCGGGTTAATGCGATATGATCTGTTGTTTCAGGCTGGAAGAATTAAATTTTGGAATACACATAAATCTACAGTACAGATTTATTCTAGTATTTTTCGATAAAGATAGCAAAAAGGTGCATTCATTTGTAGGCTGATTCAGTGCTTTGTTTGTGGATGCTTGAGCAATAATGGTTGAATAAGTGTCACTTGTAGTTTGTATAAGAATGAATGACCGTGGTTTGTGGCAAGTTATATGGAGTTCTTTTTATTGTAGCAAATTGGCAACGCCGGTAGCTAAATTGTAGCACTTGTAGAAATGTAGGTCAATAAGGAAAGTTATACTGATGGTTTGGTAAGATGTCACTAGCATAGTTGTGCAAGCATAGAAAGGGAGATAGATTTTTGTATTCAGGATTACTGGCACTTTGTTTGGAAAGCAAAGAAGGAAGGAAAAGGACGGGAGGGACAGAGGAGAAAGGGGAGGGAAGAGAAAGGGAGAGGGACAGAGGAGAAAGGGGAGGGAAGAGAAAGAGAGGAGAAAGGTGACCTTCATTTTCCTTCCAAATCTCTCCAATTTTGGATGAATTGTGCTTCTTAAAGAGAGAGGGAAAATGGATCCCTCCCTCTCCTTCCGCTTCCTTCCCCAATTCTTTACCTGAAGAAGAGAAATTGTCCTCCTCCCTTTCTCTTCTCTTCTTTTCCTTGCATTTCCTTCTATTAAAAAAGTGTGACTAGTTATGTGTCATTTATCTGTTCACCTGCTTTGGTTTTGTTTTCTTTCCTCTTTGTTGTTGCAGATTATGCCAAACTAAAGCAAATATGTTTATCTGCCATAGTAGACGTCTGATAACCTTTATGATCCTTGTAATGAGTTATGAGTGCATTATACTACGCAGGGGACTTCATATGAAAACATGACTATAATTGTCAAGGACTATGTTGAGGGCTTAATAGCCAAGTATCCTTACTGGAATAGAACGTTGGGAGCTGATCACTTTTTGGTTACTTGTCATGATGTTGGAGTGAGAGCATTTGAAGGGTTGCCATTTCTTATAAAGAATTCTATTCGAGTAGTGTGCTCCCCAAGTTATGATGTAGGGTTCATCCCTCACAAAGATGTTGCTTTGCCACAAGTACTACAGCCCTTTGCTCTTCCTGCTGGAGGAAACGACATGGAAAACAGGTTGGTGGATGTCTTTTGTTGTTGCTCTTTCTGGCATATCACCTTTCTTTGTAACCCCCCTCCCCCCCCCCCTTTCCCCTCTTCCACTACTGCTCGTGTTTTTTATGCCCTGGTTTGTATAGGGTTTTCAAATTTAATTTGGGTTTTTTTCGAATGTTGTTATTGATCTAGTAACTTGTTTAATTGTTATCAAACCTGGAAGTGGAAGTTAACAATCGTGGATCTCTGGACTGGTCAATCATGAAAAATCAATAAATGGTCTAGATTCAAACCAAACAATATTGAAGATGTATGAATTTGTAAATATTTATAAATTACCCTGGGTTTTTTCTATTACCTATCTCAACTTCGGACAAAATTGTTGTTTATTTGTCCAAGTCTCATAGCAAATGACCAGAGCAGGTTTGCATCTGGGCACAGGAGACTTTGGAAAAAATTTAGTTTCTAGTTGAGATTCAAATTATGTTCCCAGGTTTTTTTTTAAAAAAAGTTGTAGCTAGGTATCTTTGATTGGCAGAACTTGATATGCAAAATCCAACATTAATAGTTGAAAAAAGGTGGTGCAGAACTAATTTATGAAAAAATGACCCTAAAAATCACTAAATATGAGTGTTGGAATAAATGTCCAAGAGTGTTCCATCACAAAGATAATTTGTAAGGGGAGGAATGGAGGAATGTTGTCCATTGATTCCAATGTGCTTATTCTCTCTTCAATATTAGTCATACTCATATGTGCAAAACACATATATGGAAGTCGTCACTCCTAGGTCCTCACATGTGAGTGTCCTTTTAACTATGCACATTGGATAGATATAAAGAAAAATTTCCTTTGGGGTTGGGTATCTTATCAATCTCAAATCCTTATCCAGTAAACAAGCCAACCTTTACTATGATGCCATGTTTAGTTCCAGATGTAGTGGACTAGTGAGATGTCCTGTTGCTCCTCTATGCCTTCTCATATACGTATCAGCTGTGTCATCCTAACAAGGACTTTAAACAGATAGTGAAAAGAACAACATTTTAGATTCAAGTGCTGATGAGTTTCGGTTGCGAAACAGTAGAAAACGAAAGGAAGACATTTGTTTGTGAATATTAAGGGGTGGGATATTTGCTTCGGAACTCTGAAGTTTTTCATATTGCTCCTCTTGGTGAATTAGTGCTAATTAATCTCTCTGTTTTGAGTTGCTAATTTGTACGAGTCCATCTAAGACATTGAATAAATTTCATTGGAAACAATATATGGCTAGCAGGCTAGGGATAAGATAGCATAAATTCGTGCCTTGAAAATCCTGCCTACTCTGGTAATCTGGTGGGCTTTGTTATATTTATTATTGTCTGGGTCATCTTTGTGCAGATTATCTGTAACTAACAGAAAGTACACTTTGCAGGACAAACCTTGGATTTTGGGCAGGCCATCGGAACTCTAAAATTAGAGTCATATTGGCCAGAGTCTGGGAGAATGACACAGAACTTGATATATCTAACAACAGAATAAATAGGGCTATTGGGCCTTTGGTATATCAGAAGAGGTTTTACAGGAATAAGTTTTGCATATGCCCTGGTGGCTCTCAAGTTAACAGTGCTCGTATAACAGACTCAATCCATTATGGATGTGTTCCTGGTAAGTTTTTTCTGTATCTATTGTATGGGTTGTGGGAATGGTTAATATTGTATGTATTCACATCACCTAATATACTCAGAAAAATAGTGTGACCTTGATAGTTAATGTGCACGAATTCATGTAGTTCTCAACACAACATCTTAGGTCTCAGATAATTGTTCTAGTTAAGCTTTACTGCAGCTTTTGCAGAGACTTGGCTTAAGAAATTTTAAAGTTAAAGTTTCTGTTTGTCTCTCTTTTCTGCAGTAATAATATCAGATTACTACGATCTGCCTTTTAACGACATTCTTGATTGGCGAAAATTTGCTGTTGTGCTGAGGGAGAGGGATGTCTACCATCTCAAGCAAATTCTTAAGGCCATTACAGACGCAGAATTTAAACGGCTTCATGAGAATTTGGTCAAGGTAATGATTTAATGCTGGCTGAAATTTTGACATTAAACTGTATCTGACAGCCTTAGGAACCCTTGTGAGCTTGTTGTTCTCTGTTCACGTTGTTCTGGTTAAACATTCTCTGAAACTCTGAAAGTGGATCTTCCTGAAGCCATTTGTTTTTCATAACACAGCTATAATTTCAAGTTTTTAGGTATACACACTAGATGCTACTCGCAGTTAGTCTCGCTTTATTACTCATGATGTTTATGAAGCAGGGTAGAATCTGGTATTGTAGTTTTGTAGAATGTTAACTCGGAAGAAAAACTTGAGTGCTACACAAATAAGCTAAGAAGAGAGAAGAGGGGGGGGGGGGGGGGTAAAATGGCATCTTCTTTACTCACTTAAAAATCAGCATAAACTATGAAGGTCTTTGTGATTATCATGACTTTTTAGTTCCAGGTTCCCACAATGATAAGTGATGATAAGAAAAGGGCAAAGATACACGTTTATACACCAGGATTGCAATGTTTGAAATCCTTTTAATCCTTTTGTATCAGGTACAAAAGCATTTTCAATGGAACACCCCTCCTATAAAGTATGATGCTTTTCATATGGTTATGTATGAACTCTGGCTGCGGCACCACGTTATCAAGTACTGAGTTTTTTTTTTGACACGTTATAAAGTATTTCTTTCACCTCCTGTTTGTACACTCAATAGATACCAGACCAGTCTCGAAGATCAAAGGAAAGTGATGCCTAACTGCCATGCCTACCAATTCTGTAGCTCTGTAAATTATGACCTACTGTTTTGTCATGCAACAATACTCTTTCCTATATGTAGGATATGTCAAAATTTAAAAGTTTATGGCGCTGTCCATTCATTTTGTAATCCTTTTTTCATCTTTAATCTTTTTGCTCCATTTCTAGCCTGATTATAATCTCATTCTGAACCATCTAGCTGCGCGAATTTCTACAATCTCATACTTGCTTGAAGTTATCAGATTAAATGCAGGAGTGACATTCAGACTGGCTAAGTGGCTAGTTACCCTTATACAAGCTGTTTTCCTTGTGTGCTTAGACCGGTGGACTGTCAGGGATGATTACTAGTTCACTACTGTTACTACTATTATTGTACAAATTTTCAAGCTTGTAACATAAAAAGCTCTAATCTGTATCCTGATACTGCTACGCTCACTTAAGTTTCCTATTTGGAAAATTGGATCTCATTTCCTTGATACCTTTAGATTTAGCTCAATTGTTGATAATCAGATTCATATAAAAAAAAAAATTTAGGATGGTGATCCATCAAATTCATACTAAACCATGAGATTGTAGTGGCTCTTACTTTAGAGGTGCTCATGTCCTTATCAGGGTCTAAATTTTGAACTTTACAATAAATTACAATAAATTAGTGTGAGACAGTCTCACTTATTAGTGCTTTCTTGTTTTAAGACTTATTATATGCCACATCATTACTCCATATCCAATAACATACTTTATATGTAGTATAATAATGTAAGATTTCTTCAAACTTAACCAAAATTTCTCTTCAATTGTCATATTCATTTAAGATTCTTGTCAAAAGAGAAAAAAAAAACAAATATTCATTTTAGATTTCTTAATTTTTTATTTATTTTTTCAATGACTATACCCACAAATTGAGTCTCAACTGAATTTTGATTTTTCAAGACTTTTATTTATTTATTTTTTATTTAATTTTTATTTTTTATGGGAAAGACTCTACCAAGACTTATATTTCAATGATTTTCAAAAAAAAAAAAGAAGACTTGTATTTCAATGCTACATATGTTTAGGTTTTAAACTTGCTACCAAGACAATGTTAGGAGTATGATAGATGTCATGTCACTCCATGTCAACAAGATTCAAGTCTTAAAGTTAGCATTAATTTTATTACATTGTCGGTCTTTATTTCCAATATTGAAAAGGCGAAATTCAATTTTTCATCACTAATTAAACCTATGTAACACCGATCAACCCAGAGAACAAGTTTATGTAGTTGATAAAAATGATGTTTATCAAGTGACAAAATTGATAATTAAATAAGTTAATATTACACGATTCATAGGTAAAACCACCAAACATCAAAAGTTCAAAATCGCTATTGGTGTTAGCTATTTCATCCACAATATCACAATTTTAGTCATCAACGAGTAACTTTGCTAGTATAAATCTTGAGAGTTGAAAGCTACGACCATGTATAAATATTTACACATGTTATCGATCAAATTATGATTGATGATGACAAACCACTTTCCCGCCATGTTCTACAAAACCTAGTGTCGCCAAATTGTTCTTCGTTTAAGTCCATTAATCAGAATTCAAGACTGTGTTTGTACCGTCTTTCTCAGAATTTGCAGAAATTTTGTTAATCTACAAGCGATTTGTAGGTAATTAATTCTTCTTACAAATTATTATTTAAGGTTCACTGGAATCCCTAATTTTCAAATTATGTTCTTTGCTTTGTAATTTTTCAGCTCTTTTGATTTCATCTTGTAGTTCTGATTTTTGTATTACATTGAATTTATTTTTCATTCTACTTGGTATAAAACCTTGTATTATGCTATGATTAATGAACATTTCTGCACTATTACAAAATTTGTCAACTTTGTACACTAATTTTGTTATACTGCTAGTATGAATGATGTGTTTGTAATCTTATTGAAATGTTTCATAAATGAAAACTATGGCACTTTAGTATCATTAAATTGATAAAATTGTTGGACACATTTGTGGTCAAAGTTAGTAAGCTTATTGAAGTAAGGTCAATTGGAAATAACCAAACAGTGATCATGACTCACGAGGGTAAGATTGTGTACATCCGACCCTCCCCCGACAATATTGTTTGACTAATTTGTGGTCAAAGTTAGTAAGCTTATTGAATTAATGTCAATTGGGATAATAACCAATATGTGATCACGAGGGTAAATTTGTGTACATCCGACCCTCCCCCCTCCCATACCGTGCTCAAAATAGGAGCTTGGTGTGAATAATTGGGGTAGTATAGTAGTACTGATGCTGTTGTGGTCACCATTAATTTCGAAAGTCAAAAGTGACCTATTATTTTGAGGACATGATATGTTTTTGAAACTGTGTTTGCTGGATGTTGTTATTAAGTGTATATCTTGACATATCTTCTCAACTTATTTGTAGTTTGAGTTCCTAGAAAAGGCAGGAGGCATATTGTGCAATATCTTGTATGAGCATGATTTTTGGTTGGACAATTTTTTTCGTGATGCTATGAGGGATTGGGGGTGTTCACGTTGTTGGAGCTTACAAAACATTTAATTACCACTTTACGAACTACAAGGTGTTGTGGAATGGGAAATCAAATTCAATTGTGGTTAGTATTCTGATGCATTCTGCTAATCAATTGCATAAGACGCAATAGAAGCTATTATAAAATTTTATGTTGTATGATTGGTGGAAGAGGAATTACGATGAGGTAAAACAAATGAATACATTGCCAAAATTGGTATCTAAATGGTTGATGTTTCTCACATTGGTGGTTTGCATATTCTTATATTAATTTGTTTTCTGTTGTCAGATACAATATGTGGAAGTTGAATACTGGAACTTGATTTAGGCGAATGCTATAAATGTTCACCAGAACTCTGTATTTGATTGTTCTGTCTTTATTCTTCCAAGCCCTTTGGCCTTTCCATTGACCTTCCCTACATGTAAAACGTTATGGAAGTTTCTTTAATTAGCTACCTTCTGTTCAATGAAAAGAAAGTTAACATTGAACTTTGGATCTGTTGTGATTTTTAGCTGGTTGTACTGTAAATGCCTTAACTAATGGATCACATATGATATTTTTGCTATGATAGTAGCTTAGATCCACTGCTGAGTTGTTAGTTTATTGAATTATTATTGTGTGTCTTTGTGTTAGGTAACTTAGCTTGGGTTCTAAAATCCTTCCATTGAAGTATGACAATCCATTTAGTCACATGTTAGCTCTGGATGTGGCATTTGGGGATCAAGCATTGGAGTCTCTTGTAAGTTACGCTTATCAAACTTCTTTTAAATACCTTCAAAAGTTTCCCATGTGATGTGAGAAAATAGGCAGATACCCGACTTTTTCTGTCTGTATTTTAATGTTTTTGAGCTATGATCGTAAGACTTGGGCATCATGATGATGATTCCCAGGTTTGGAATGACGTAGATTTTTAAGTTTGAGTTGTATGTTTAGTTCCCAACTTTCCTGCAAACTAAGAGGAGGAATATCTCTGTACTATTCCAAAACTATAGGTTATATATGAATGCATGCAATTTCATTTATTTAACTGGATTTTTAGAGTAAATGGTCTAGTGTTTCCTAATTAATATGATAGGAATAGTTAAGGGAAAGAGATGGAGATACTAACTTTTGAAGTGTCATAATTCTGGATTTCAGTAGTGGAAAATAGAACAATAAGAGCAATAAACAAAACAATTCATCATAACTATGATAGGTTTGGGAAGATGTATAATAGCCTTACCTCTTATCAATCGAATTAAGTCGAGACTATTTCCTAAAAACCTGCCTAAGTTGTTTTTTTTCTTTTTCTTATATATATATATATATATATATATATATATATATATATATATATATATATATATATATATATATATAACATAATAGTGGTTTGTTCCTTTTAAAGTTAAACATTTATTACAGCAGCCAGAGTAAGAGTAGTAAAAGCAACAATAATAATACAAATAACGAAAGGAATAGAAGCAATAATTCAATATAATCATTTTATTTTAGTCTTAACCAAATATGATGAGTAGGAAAATAAGTTCGGGTTAGTTATCTGATGCATGCAGATGATCTGATCAATTGCATAAGACTTGAACAGATTTGTTGTCACTTCGTAGAATTGTTTCATGTTGAATGATCGGTGGAAAAATTATTGCAGAAGATGAAGGAAACAAACCAGTGCTAGATATATTAATGGTAGAAAGAAAACAAGATTAAGGGAAATATGATCACTCATACTAAGAAGTGTAATACATTGTTCTTATTTAGTTATTTATGTAGTTTATTTGATTAATAGGGAAAAAAATAGGAAAATTTAAGTGTGATCATTTTCCATCAATAATGATTGATGTTGTATACCATGAGATGAGGTTCCATTTGTTATGTATACTTTTCCATCGAAAAAAGTTTTCATTCCATTATGATCAATTGTAAACAAACAAACACCAATATTGACTATAACACCAATATGTAAGTAACCAATGATGCATGCATTATTAACATAATGGTAGGGTAAGTAATAAATGGGTGAGGAGTTTGGGTATAATTGATAACTCTGACACCTTAATAGGAACCCCAGATGCTAAGATGCCAAGTTGGTGACTACATAGTTCTGCATTAGTCCCATTATTGAATCAAACTCATTCTCGGGACTTTTATAGAGTTATTTGCAGGTTATTATGGCTCTAATCCAACTTATATGACCCATGGGACCCCCCTACATTTAGCTCAATTTTGTGAAAATTTCCCAAAAATGGTCCAAAATCATGAATTATAACCTTTAGTTTTGGATAATTTTTTAACTTTTCCGAATCCAGAATGGAAAGCACTAGGGGTGCTTCCCATAAACCCCATGACTACCCGGGAGGCCATTTGGATAGTTGAAACCGTTTCAATTTGTCTTTAAACTCTCAATTTAACTAATTTCAGATGCACCTCCCTTAATAAACTAAAGGCCACCACAAGCCTTTATGTGACTGATTAGTGATTGTATATGGTTCCAAACAATATTGTATGACCCTAGGATGTATCTTCTACCATTTTTTGAGTTTTTCGTCACAGGGTTTGAGATATCCAAATTTGGTATGATGAAAAAAGCTACATATGCAATTATGCATGCCATGATTCATCAATTCAGCATGAAGTATTAAGTTAAATCAGCTTTGTCAGCTTATTTATTTCTTCTGATTTTACAGCGCCGGAATTCTGCAAGACAGTGGTTTGAGTGAAAGTGTGAGAAGAGTGCAGAAATGCGTTGGTTGAGAAGTTAGGCATTGGTTGAAATGCTCAACTCATGCTTAGGGAAGAAGCTTTGGTGGGAAGTTACCTGAAAACATTGGGCATCACGTCATAATACTGGTTTTGGCTATTCCCGGTGGGCCGGTATTATTCCCGGTATTATTCTTATCCTGAGTCAATCATGGAAGAAAAAGGTGAAGTTTGTCATGTAGTACATGTACTGATGTCAGTTTCTAGATACATTACCTTACAACATTGCCACACTCCTTGACCAGTTGCAAGCAACTGTGTTGTACAGTCAAGTTTTACATTTTCTAATCAACAAACAACTTAAAGCATATGATCAAAGAGGTAAGCCTGGAATTAAACTATGTTTATCAATCATGCATGGTTAAGGCGGCTTGAAGTTTGTTGTTTACAAGTTATATGATCGTCATGCCCTCATGCAGCTCTTCATATTACCTTTCTATAAATAGTATCTTTTTGTTAACTATGATTCATTCTTTTGTTTATTGTTACTCAAAATTTTTTTTTTTGCTCTGTTTTTTTTTTTTTTTTTTTTTTTTTGGTTTGCTTATATTCCCTCATGGAAAGTGACATGTGCTTTCAATGTTTTAGCACTGGACAAAGTGCACAAGAAAAGGGATTGACACATATTCCAGAGTGCTATGAGGTTCCCTCCTCTGAACGTCCCAGCTTGAGCTCACTTGAAGCTCAGATTCCTGTTGTTGACCTGGCTGGATTGCAAATGGGCCCTACTCACCGCTTAGCTGTCATTGAAAGCATTGGATATGCTTGCAAGCGCTTCGGATGTTACCATGTAAACCTAATTTTCTTTATATTTTGTGTGAAATTTGACATATTGGCTCACTCTCTGTGTATTAGCCATCATATATTCAGCTGCTATATCCCTTATTTTAATTTTTTACCAAGTCAAAGGATAGTGATCTGATTTAGGTGAGAAATTTGTTTCTTAAGGTCTTTAATTTTTTTTACAGTCAAAGAATAGTGACTTAAGTGAGACTTTTAGTGTTAAAGACTTAAAGGTCAGCTTAAAGTTTTTTGTCAGCATATTTCAGGAAAAGTTCTTCTAAAGGCTTAAGATAGTTAAAGTTTATATGCATTTTCTAAACTTTGATGGACAAAACTTCCAGCAAGGGGGATCGGCCTGTAATAATCCTTTAATTAGCATGCCCATTGAATATTTTGCATTTTTGGGTGATAAAAAGCTAAATCAACACATTATTCTACGTTGTTGTATATGACACACTAAGAAGATATTGTGCTGCAGGTTGTTAATCATGGCATTGACCAGTCAATCTTAGACAAAGCACTTGGTGCTGCAAATGAGTTTTTTCGGTTGCCTGCTGATGAAAATTTGAAGTTTATGTCGAAGGATGTACACAAACCAGTGAGGTATGGGACAAGTCTCAAGGATGGTGTTGATAAGATTCAATTTTGGAGGGTTTTCCTTAAACATTATGCAAATCCCTTGAACGACTGGGTTCAGTCTTGGCCTGAGAATCCACCTGCTTACAGGTATGTTATCTAATATATTTATTTTGTGAATTGCATAGGTATGAAGCATTACCTATTATTTAGGATATATATTATGCAAGCACCTGAATTGTGTAGATAGTGCTTAATATACCTTTTTATGTATGAAGTGAAAGATGAATGCAGTGTTGTAAATGCTTACGAAGTATGTTGCTCAGACTTAACCAAAGACATGAATTGTATGTTCATTTATGTGATGAATTTAGTTTCCATGTTTCTGATAAAAACACTACTTGATAAATCAATCAATAAATTAGTTTAAAAGATAGACATATTAAATTCAGCATGGAAGAAAGAATGAGGAAAATGAAACTGTTTATCCATGCATGTTTCTTTAGCTCCGTCACTATTTAATTGCATACTCAACGCATGTGACTCCTTGTTGTTGTTATTATTATTATTATTATTATTATTATTAGTGGTATTTGTGACTTCATGTCTTGGTTTGAGGGTTATGTTAGAGTACAAAAAATGCCATGAAAGAGGGTTTAGATGCAAGATAACATTAAACAAATGCTCCTCCATCTGTGCTGAAAATTCTTGAACATGAATTCAGCATGGGAAAAAAAAGAAGCTTGTTTCAAAACCACAAGCAGAAATTAACCCCTTTTTTCTTATACTAAAATATATAAGCAAATGCGTATGCATATGCGTATGCATATACATCTACTTCAGCATCTATTCAAAAGAAGAAGATGAGCATTTACATGTGTCAAGTTGATTTTTCTAATGTTTTGTAAAATATTTTATAATTTTTTATTTTTTGAGGGAATGTTTTGTGGATTGTTTATCAACAATAAAGAGAATCATGTGCATGTGTCTCTCTTTATTTTTCCTTGCCTAATTGCCTTGAACCTGATTCCAGAACTGACCTCAGAGGGAGAAAAAAACCCCTAATTTCAGGAATTTATCTTTGCCTTAATTTATTTGTTTACATTCCTGCAGTCTTGCAGTATTGCCTCACTTGTTAGAATTTGGAGTTTTCTATCCGGATTTTGTATTCATTTGTCTTATATCTTGGGGGTGCGGATTTGCTGCAACACTTGCTGTTGACTTATTTCTTTGTGGGTGTGAATTTGCTGCAAAACTTGTTTCCTTATACAATTAATACTCCTGCCCCTAAAATAATCGCCATGTTAGCTTTTGGTCTTCCTCACAAAGATTAAGAAAAGTGGATACATATGACTTAAAATGATGAAATTGGATAACAAAAAAGTGTAAGAAATGAGTATAAAGTGTTGATGTAATGGTGAGAAAAAAGTTTATGTTAAGGTGGGGGGCCTAAGTGCGCATTGTAATGATCCCAAAACATACTTCCTCCGTTTCCTTTTAGTTGACACGTTTCTTTAGTCACGTTTGCCAATGCACAAGTTCAACCATTCATATTTTTAATTACCGATAAGCAAAAATTATGAAAATTTGATATTTGAAAATATATATCGTGATGAATCTAACAAAATCTCACATGACTATATTTTTCATTACGTATAAAGCACAAAACACGGTTAAAGGAGAGTGTGTGAATAGTGCTAAAGTCAAAACGTGTCAACTAAAAAAACGGAGGTAGTATTTAAGAAGGGGATTATCTAGGAGAGGGATGTACGCTCGTTGCCTTATGGTTATACTTAGCACGTAGTACTGGTAGTAGCCATCCTACTTGATTATGATATTTGAATATATGGTCACTCGTAGCCTTATAATACTAAGCACGTAGTAGTAGCCATCATACTCGATTATGATATATGATCTTTGAACTGATTATTTTCGTACTACTGATTTTTAAACATAAACTTTTACATTCAACTTTATTGTAGCCATTGCAACAGTAAGAACTACACCACCGCGGATAGGAAACTCTGAAATTAAGAAAGTAACTTTAATTCTTTTTCATGACTACAAAAAAAATGTGGCCTTTGTAAAACTTATCATGGTTGATAGGGGAGACATGGGAGCATACTCTTCAGAAGTGCAAAAACTAGCAGTGGAATTAGCAGGAGCTACCACAGAGAGTCTTGGCTTGGGTCCCAAGTATCTGAGTGAGAAGATGGAAGAAGGCATGCAGGTAATAACCACAAACTGTTACCCACCTTGTCCTCAACCTCGTCTCACGCTTGGGTTGCCTCCACATTCGGATTACAGCTGCTTGACCATCCTACTTCAGAGCTCTCCGGGGCTCGAAGTCATGGACATGCAAGACGGTGGCTCTTGGAAACTCGTGCCCTACATTAGTGGTGCCCTGCTAGTTCACATTGGAGATCATTTTGAGGTATTAAGCAATGGGTTGTACAAAAGTGTGGTGCATAGGGCTGTTCTTAATTCCCAGAAGACTAGGATATCCATTGCAAGCTTTCACAGTAAGGGGTTGCTTGAGAAGATGGAGCCTGCTCTTGAGTTGGTGGATGCGGATCATCCCAAGGCATACAAGGGAAGTAGCTTCAAGGATTTCTTGGATTTTCTAAGTGCTAATGATATTGGGCAAGGGAAAATATGCTTCCTGGACACCCTTAAAATAAAATAGTTAGCCTATCCTTAAAAATACAATAGTTAGCCTATCCGTTATAGTCACCCATATATATCGAAATTAAGTTTTTACCGCCAATCTCTCTATTTATTATTATTTTTTTTTAAAATATAATGATGTTATAAAAATACATAGTAGGTAGTACTAGTTCTATTCCATAATGTTCTACCCACTTTTTGTTTCAGTTCATTCCATGCAGTTTTACTCGTTTAACATATTCTTTTGCTGTTTCGCATGGCCATAATGTAATAATGCTGGTGAAATCCTGCGTCAATGATTTTATAAATATCTGAAAGGTGCATATGTGCAAGTTGTCATATACTAGTGTGAGTAATCTAACCAGATTCAGTATGTTACATCATTCCTGTACTCCCAGATCAGGTTCAATCAGTTTCATGTATACAATAGTTGCAATATTACTCAATCTTATGTATGAGTGATTTAAAATATATTTTAAAGCCTAGAGAATACAGAACCACATAAGTTAACAATTTTATGTGAAAAATATTCTGCTTGTAGGAAGAGACAATATTTGTTTGATTAAAAGCATACTGTCATGTTGTGAAATTTACATCATATAATTAATTAAAAAGATAAATTGTGGATGCTAGCTTAGCTTAAGCTGCATGAATTTATCATTAAGCATGGTCAACTTGTGGTTCATAATTGTAACTCCCCTTAGACCCTTACAGAAGCATGACTACTTAAGAGTAATTTTCTATATATAGCAAACTATTCTTCTAACTATATTTTTCATTCCCATATAAATCTCTGTCTCAAATTGTTACTTAGTTGATTATATTCATTTCATATCTAAAATACATATTCATATATACTTAACCTAGGTGTATAATGGAAAGTGATAGGTGCTCTCAAAGTTATAGCACTGGGCAAAGTGCACAAGAAAGGAGATTGTCACATGTCCCAGAGTGCTAAGTTCCTCCCTCTCAACAACCCACCTTGAACTCACCCCAAGCTCATGTTCCTGTGGTTGATTTGGCTGGATTTCTAATCAGCCCCATGCACCGGTCTGCTGTCGTTCAAAGCATTCGCAAAGCATGTGTCCATTTTGGAATTTTCCAAGTAAGTAAACCTATCTTGATAGATTTTGTCCTATACAATATCATTTTCTGAAAGTTTTTAAGATAAAAATAAAATGAAGGGGGCGTCATTTAATTTATTAAGAAAAAAACCAGGGATGACTTTCATGATTTACTTGCAGATCAATTATTCATCATGCGGTGACTTTTATTGAGAATTGGAGTTACATTTTACGGCTTTTATATGGTACGATATTGATAATTCTTATATGTATCTATACTTATGCTGATATCATTATCCTGCCTCACTACTCGGTCACTCTTACGTATGTAACTGTATACTATTTGAGCATTGGAAACTATTTTGAACAAAGCCAGGTACAGCTCTTTATTCAGCTCACAATCCATCATAATATATGGTGCAACAGAGAAATAATAGGAGTGTTCATAGTTGTATATATTGATCAACAGATCATTATATACTTGCAACTTTGCAAATGAATCTCATGAATTGTTTTGTGGTCTGATACTATATTTAAGGTGGTCATGTAAGGATGTTGAAGCATCAAAGACCTTTGATACCTGATCCGGCCATTTTTCCCTATGTGCGTCCCTATTCAATAACCACCACTACTTATTACAATGGATATGTATGCGCAGGTTGTTAATCATGGCATAGACCAGACGATCCTGAACAAAGCACTTGGTGCCGTGGATGGGTTTTTCCGATTGCCTGCAAATGAGAAACTGAAGTTTATGTCGAATGATGTTCACAAACCAGTGAGGTATGGGACGAGCCTCAAGGATGGCGTTGATAAGATTCAATTTTGGAGGGTGTTTTTAAAACTTTATGCGAATCCCTTGGAAAATTGGGTTCAGTCTTGGCCTGAGAATCCACCAACTTACAGGTATATTATCTGAATTATCTTAATTTTCTAAATTGCATAAACTCAAACTACCACGTTACCATGCTGAAGGCTAATCTGTGTACTTTACCACATTAAAGAAACACCTTAGGAAAATTCAAGCTGTCCAAGTACAAGTATATTATGTCTGTTTTAGCCCAATAAGAAAGAAGATAATTAACAACAAGAGTTGCGATGCATGTGTGACTCTAGATTCCAATTTCTATTGCTTGTGAGACGTAAGATATTATTTGTGACCTCATGCATTTGACTGTCTGAGTTTTGAGGGGTTACTTTGAGCACAGAAAATTCCAGGCAAAGAGTTTAGATCAAATAAATGCTCAGCTCCTTTGTATATATGCACTGAAATTCATGTATTTATGCATGAAATTTGGAAATAAATAAACCAATCTATATCAACCATTAATAAATTTAAGCTACTCTTATTCTAATGCCAATATGGCAATGTCTAACAGAAGCATATACAAGCACATGAACCTAGTTTGTCATCTTCTAGAAAGATAAACAAGGGCACTAATTACATCAGCTTGGGTCTATATGATGTATTATTTAGTGTCTTCTGATTATAGAATTTTATTATTTAAAGAAAATAATGCACGCACTTGCCTTTATATAAATAGAGCCCTGATTTCATAGGTGACCTCATCGGGGGCAAGGGGGTGTAAAAATAACTTTCATAAAGCACCCTTTACTTTGCTGTTAGGGTATTTCAGTCATCCATTGCATGCTCCAACAGACATGAAAGTGCCTTCGGAGCTTAGGGAATTGTGTTAAGATTGATTCAGTAGGCGCAGTAATAAACGGTGGTAAAACTGATAATGATAAAGATTCCGAAGAGATCTTCTGATATCATTCAAGGAAATATGACAAGAACACACCTTGGAGTTTAGGCCTTAGAGGTGGGATAGCATTTTGTAATGATGCATGGTCGCATGAACATTCTCATGGGATTTTATTTGCAAAATCACCATTACCCCTTCTTTTAATACTTAAGAAACGGGTTGTTAAAACTCTAGGGTATGAGTGAATATTTTCCAAAAACAAGTTTGTAATTTAAGGAGTTTATCGTTGCCTAAATATGTGTACTGTTATACTCCTGCAACATTTCTATGTGATATAATTCGAAATTATTATACCATATGTCAACAATTCGATCATGTTATCTTGTGCCTTCATATTATATGATCCTTTGGTTAATTCCATATATACATTTAATAACAGGGAAGACGTGGGAGCATACACTTCAAAAGTGCAAAAACTAGCAGTGGATTTAGCAGGAACTATCACAGAGAGTCTTGGTTTGGGTCCAACGTATCTGAGTGATAAAATAGGAGAAGGCATGCAGGTAATTACCTCAAACTGCTACCCGCCGTGTCCTCAACCTTGTCTCACGCTTGGATTGCCTCCTCATTCTGATTACAGCTGCTTGACCATCCTCTTACAGGATTCTCTCGGGCTTGAAATTGTTGACAAGCAAGATGGCTCGTGGAAACTTGTGCCCAACATCAATGGTGCCCTGGTAGTCCACATAGGAGATCATTTTGAGGTATTAAGCAATGGGCTGTACAAAAGTGTGGTGCATAGAGCTATCGTTAACTCGCAGAAGACTAGGATATCCATTGCAAGCCTCCATAGTTTGGGGTTGGATGAGAAAATGGAGCCTGCTGCTGAGTTGGAAGATGCGGATCATCCCAAGACATACAAGGAAAGTAGCTTTAAGGATTTCTTGGATTTTCTTAGTGTTAATGATATTGGTCAAGGGAAAATCTGTTTTCTTGACACCCTTAAGATAGTATAATGTAGAACTAAAAATTTATCCTTCTTTATCTTAAGCAACTTTTTATTGAATTTATCTTTAATCTAATTGTTACACCATGACATTAGGCATGATACTCCCTCCATTCTTTTAAGATTGCACCATTTGACTTTTCATAGTGTTCAAAACACGTTTTAAAAGGTAAATATCTTTATTTTGCAGGCTTAAAATTTTTTAAAAGTTAATATTTAAAATCAAAATTGTAATAAATCTAATAAGATCTCACATAATTGTAATATTTGTACGGTAAAAGTACAAATTAAATGTCAATGGGGAACGTGAAAGTCACTACATATGGGCCAAAGACCCTAGTTTTTGTAATTTTGTAATGTAAACAGTTTGCAAATTTTCTAATTCCCTGCAAATTACTAGTATGTACATATTAATTACAGGTCTGTTGGTCCAAATAGAAATGTTATTCCGTGATATTCATATGTCCTGAGTAGGCAAATTGTCATAATTCAATGTACTAATGTAATCTACTCTAAACGTTGGTAAAACTAAAGAACAAATTGAATTTCATTGCATATGAACAAGACATTTTGACCAGAGCATTCTGTGAAATTTCAAAATATTGTTGGTGGGGCCGCTTTCCAAACCAGAGTAGTCTCTTACTTCGTATTATTTCTTAGGTACCTCATTTAACCCAAAGAGTGAAAGAACTACTTCGTAATAAACAACCGTCCAAATGAGCAAGTTATATGAAGTGGAATGAACAAGGGAGTAATAAAACTATTTTCACTATAATTAGTATTAATACCATTTTGGACTGACGATAATCCAAGAATTATATGTATAACTAGATTACTGCCCGTACGATGTACGGTATTAATAATCTTTTTTCCATAATTAATTGTGATATAATATAAAAATGAGAAAACTCATGTGAAAAAAACAAATGCAATGCATATAGAAAAATAAAATAATATGGCAAAAATCATTCAAACTACAATTGATAAAGAAAAAAATTTATTGTTGATTAGTTGAGTTGAAAATATTTAAAAGTAGTATACATTATATTACATTAATAATGCACATTATTCCCAATAAAACTATACAATCTAGCTAGTGACTATATGACTAAAACTTATTTATAAATGCTTTTAATAAACATCAAAACTTTAATCAAACAACAGACTAAAATCTACAATAAAACTATTAGCACAACATACATGTCAATATATAAATTACAAATTAAATAATATATCATCTTTATATCCAATAAAATAGTTTCAATGGAAATAAATACTACTTAGATCATTAAAGACAATAACAATCCATAATAGGCAACACTAACCTATGAATTGATGCTCTATATGATATCGTAGCTCTTTGTTACTATACAAAAATGTGTTTGAAGCTATTCAGTAATTCTAGTTTGATCATTGTTTGTTTATTGCCTTAAAATTTTATTTGGAGATGAT